GCGTGAAGTACACAGAAGCCGGCGACGCAAATCAGCCCATTCGAGCACGTCAGGTGGAGGGCCCCGCTGCAGGCTGGGGGGGCCGCTGTTGATGTCGTGACTGTGCTGAAGCCGGAGGTGCGGGTGCTGGTCGGAATTGGGGTGGTAGTGATGGTAATTACAGGTGCGGGTGAGCTCGGAGGTGTCCTTTTTGGCTGGGTAATGACCGGCGTGGTGCTTGTCGCAGGTATGACCGGCGGGGTGCTCGTCGTAAGTACGACCGGGGGGATGCTGGTCGTTGTGACAACGGGTGGGACGCTGGTCGTCGATATGACGGACGGGCTGCTGAAGCTTGTCGTGGTTGGTGAGAGATTGAGGTTCAGTGCGCCGCAGGTCACAACGCCACCCAGGAGGGTGGTACAGCTAGTCGTGGATGCAATTGATGGGACGCTTGTCGTGGCTAGGCCTGATGGGAGGCTGGTCATTGAAGGGACGGACGGAGTACTAGTCGTGATTATGACTGACGCAGAGCTAGAGCTTGTGGTCGTCGAGAGCAGGTTGAGGTTCAAGGCGCCGCAAGTCACAACTCCGCCCAGCAGAGTCGTGCAAGAGCTACTCGATGATGCAGGTGAGCTAGTGGTCATTGATCCCGTCGTGACTGTAGTCGTGAAGGCAATGTATACTGTCATCCCACTTCCAGTAGGGACTGCCGTTGATACCGACGCCAGGAGCGTATTCGACGCTCCACTCGGGCAGGTGAGCTGCCCACCGAGCACGCTCGAACAGGAGGTGATGATGGTCGTGCTGAGGACTGTAGTGACCGGCAGGACAGTGGTCAACATATTGACGCTGGACGAGGTGCTTGGAACGGCGCCCCCAGTTGCAGAGGCGCCGGCGCCGAGCGTACCGCTAAGGCCAAGGCCCAGGGAGGGATCAATCCTGATACTGATGCCGGAAGAGCCCGTGCTGACGCCTACACCGAGCGAAGCGCCCACGGACAAGGAAGCGCTCGCCGTGACCGAGACCCCGACAGTCAGGATGGTGCTCGAAGAGGGTCCAATGACTCCCACGCCTGGGGAGGCTCCTGCGTTGGGGTCGGGCGTGATGGAAGCAACGATGCAGCCGTTCAGGATGTTGCCCCCGTTCGTGCAGGTCCCGGTGCCTGCGCCGACGCTGGTCGGACTGATCGTGTTGGTTGTGACACTGCCAATCGGGCTGGCGATGGAAGCCAGACTTGTGCTCGTCGAAGCGCTGGTTCCGGCCCCAGCACCCGCGGATGCGCTGATCGAGACCGGAAGGGTGGGCATGGCATCTCCCACGTAGTTGACGAGCCGTATCGCAGCGATTGTCGTCGAGTTCCCAGCCACAAAGCCTTCCGCCACGTCGTCGTATAGGTAGCAGGATCCAGCTCCAGCTCCATTTTCGACTCCGACGTACGTGAATCCGGTGCAGTACAGCGCTCCCCGGTCAATGCTACTCTGGTCGCATTGCCTGAAGCAATCATTGATGGACGTCGAGGCGATCGCAGCAGTGTAAGGTATGCCGGTCGAGAGCGCGCCACCACAGCTCAGGACATACGCCAGGCCATTCTCTGTTATGACTTGACCATCGTTAGCCGGGCAGGAGTAGGCCACACTTGTCTCTGTTGGTCCGGCAGATGTCGGCGCTGTAGCGGACGACAGGCGGGTGACCGTCAGGATACCCGTGGGCGTGTTGTAGGTGCTCGAGACTCCGGTGCTTGCGATGGAGGCTGATGAGGCACGTGTGAGATACGTGTATGTAGTCCCGCCTTGGACATTAACGCCGTTCGTGGTATAGACTGTACTGATCGACGAGGACAAGGTCACACCATTGTTGACCACGGCGCGGACCTTGCGCTGCGCGAATTGGACGTTCGGCGATGGCATACCGCTGTCGGGCACTTCGGCACAGTACTCGTAGCATTGGCCGGTCAGACTGTCGTAGCCAGTCCCTTCGCAATTGGCGTTGGTAGAGCAAGCATTGACACAAGACGCCATATCTGGTTCTTGCGTAACCGAGCAGACGCCACCACTATAGTTTGTGTGACACTCCACTGTATACAGGCTCCAGTCGCAGGGTCCACGTAATCGTATGACTGCCGTGTTCCACCGCAGGCCAGACTTGTTGACGTAGCGTGCGGAGCAGAAGATGATGTGCCACTCGCGCCCTGTGTACTTGCTCCCGACATCGTGAACGTGAACGTCGAGCTCAAGCCTGGAGACATTTGCTCCATGGTCGTCGCAGGAGGGGTGGAAAGCGAGCCAGACGGCATAGACATGGAGGAGCCTGTCATCGAAGTTGGGAGCGAAAGTGAGCTGGATGGCGTGGACATAAAGGAGCCTGTCATCGAAGCCGGGAGCGAAAGCGAGCCGGTGGGCGTGGACATGGATGAGCCTCCCATCGAAGTGGGAGGCGACGCTGGCCCTGAGGAGGGCGCCGCCGTGGATGTTCCAGTCAACATAGTGTCGGACGACATGGAAGTGCTAGAGCCAAAATCGTCGGTGACTGTAGTGGAGCCAGTGGCATCTGGCGACCCCGACGGCGAAGATCCGGGACTGATCGATGTGCCGGGCATGCTGCTGGACGTTGTCCCGGGCATGCTGCTTGACGTCGTCATCGCACTCGTCAATGTGCCGCTCTCTGAAGTGGTCGATGAGGAGGTGAGCAAGTCCGACGAATCTGTGCTGCCTGCAGACCCTCCAAGCGTCGAAGCAACACTCTGCTGTGATGGGTCGGATGTTGTGCTTGACTCTGTGCTCGATGTATCGTACGACCATGTCGATGGAGTGCTGTATACAGGCTCTAGGGATGTCGAAGCTGAATACGGCGGGACGTAGGGCGGTGTGCTTGTGCTGTACATTGTACTGCCGGCGTTATTGGTGAAGCCGTTACGCTGGTACAGCAATACCACGCTGTTCTTCCCCGGGGTACGCGTGCCATTGCTTGCAGCGCTGTTGCTCGCGAATGTGCACATGCCGTTGCTGTAGGTTGATACGTCACAGCTCGTCACGTTTGAGCAGGAGTTCGAGCAGTCGGTGACGCTTGAAGCAGGCTGTGTAGACTGGACAGTCGCTGCCGGGAAGGAGGTATCACACATGACTTCGTAGGCGTTGCCCTTGTTGTCAATGTACCGCGAACCATCCGCGCCTGGGCATGTGAGGTTGATCGGAACGGCGGAATCGAAGGTCTGATCTGCCGTCCCTGGACCGACTGCGCCTTTGAAGTAGCATTGCTGTGTTGTCTGCACCCAACTGATACCCACGCAGCCAGATCTGAATCCACACGTGTTGACACACTGCTCGAAGTCTGCTCTGACTTGGTTGCCAATATCGTAGCCCACCTCGTTGACGTGACACTGTACTTGGTATGCTTTGCCGCTTGGGGAGAGATAGTCAAGGCCATCGTCGTTCGGACACGTAAACACCGGGACGCGTGTTGCTGTCGGCAAGGACGAGGAGACGCTTGAGCTGCGGCTCAAGCTTGTGGAAGCCGTGCTAGCCGCGGTGATGGACGCTGGAGTTTGCGATGTGCTTGACCCGGTGCTACCTGTACTTGATTGCGATGTGACTGTGCGCTGCGATGTTGATGTTGTCGCGACAGAAGCTGATGAGGAGGAGGAGGATGACGTTGTAGTAGATGGAACGCCTGAAGAGGCCAGCGACGAGGAAGCTGATGAGAGTGGTACCCCTGGGACGGAAGAAGTCCGCGATAGTGTTGCTGGCGTGGAGCTCCCAGAAGAGCTTGTAGCAGATGAGATCCTTGATGATGGAGAAGGGGTCACGCTTTGCGAGGCGCTCCGTATGGTTCCAGAGCTTCCCGAGATACTACTTGGCGATGGCGAAGCTATTGGTGTGCTCGATGATACTGACGATGCTGTGATGCTCGTGGACTGTGTGGTCGGTACGGTGCTTGTCCTTGACGAGCTTGTGTATGTGCCCGTATAGTCTGGAGGAAAGACTGTGACCGTGCTAGGCTGGGGACATGGCGGGCAACCTTGAGACGTTGTCAGCCGTGCATTCGTATACAAGAGGGCAATGAGGCGATTTACCCGTCTGTGCGTGTGCCAAACCGGTGCAAAGGAGTGGAAGAAGACCGAAGTACTTCATGGTGGATACCGAGCAGGCCCAAAGGAGCCTTGGCGCCTCAAAAGACCCAGCAACGAGGGAGCGCAAGAGAACGATCCAGCTTGGTAGGCAGGGCAACGTCAAGGGTAAAGGAAGCGACGACAAAGCACTCGGGGCGAGCAGGAGCACGGTGTCCTCGCGGGTCTTTTCCCACGCAGCGTTAATCTATGACCGCGCTCGGGTAAGATGAGGGAGTCGGACTCGGCATGAGACGAGGGGAACAACAAACATTCACCTACCAATCAGGAAGGCCGAGCCAGGGACAATGTCACGGCATTGTGCAGCCGCAGCTTTTGGAGTTGAGAATCGTGTCAGGCTACCACGGAGGCGAACCGGTGATGGCACGGGCCAGATATCGGGACGAAGCCGAGATACGCATGCCATCGGGCCGACGCCAAACAACCGACTTTGGGCGTGCCGGTTCGGAGAGTTGACACCTGCGGTCGGAATGCAAGTTTGAGATCGGGATGGAATGTTCGGCCATACCACATCGGGCCGCCTTGTGATACCACCGCACCGATCCCTACGCAATTTGGCTTTCTCCAGAGCGGCGAAAGCTCACTGGTGTGTAGTGGAGTGCATGCCAGGCCCAAGTCAGTCCGGGTCGGCTCATTTCACCTGCTTGAAGAAGCATGCAGGCGACGTAGTCGAGCTTCCATCTCGTAGATCGTATGGCGCTGATGTTTTGGCTCGATGTCGAAGCGATCGATGAGGGATCCTGTACGACCGCAGTGATTGCTTGCAATAGACGGAAGTGTGGTCCCATCAAGTTCCGGGCGCGGCCTAGGAGAGGGATTCGTGTCCCTTGAGATCTCTGTGCCAGAAGAGGCTGTGGCGGTAAGCCGTCGACGCCACCCCAGCAAAAATACAGGTCGACTCTCCGGCCAAGGACTTGAACCTGGATCTCCCGCGCACCGTTCTCAGACGAGCGGAAATGCTTCCAAATTGCACTACCAGAGATGGCAAAGTAAATCGGACTCTCTCTCAGGCCACGACTCGAACGTGGATCTCCCGCGCATCGCCGTGTGAAGACGAGCGGAACTTTGGGATTATCAGTCAGCGATTGCTAAGCGGATGCGGCCGGGTGGTGGATGCTGGTGCGTACATGCTCAACCATTGCACTACCCAAGATTTCTGATGTTTTGGTGAGGGTTCATTTGCGGCGATGAGCCTTGCCTTTGTGATCCGGTGTGCCACCGAGCATGTTGATGATGGGTGGTGGTGGAGGCGTCGGCATGAGATGCCAAGACCCGAGTCCGGTTTCCGAAGAGGCGATTTGTCGGTAGGCGAGCTCTCTCATGGATCGATGGTCGCCACGAGCTGCTTGACCATGCCGTCGAAGATCGGGTACAACGAGCAAGCCGCGTACTTGTCCACCAGCAGTCCCTCAACCTGGCCGTCGTCTTCCACGTTGCCGTTCGTCGGCATCGCCTGCCCGTCAATGACTGTCCCCTCAGGATACACGGGTATCTTCCCTTCTTCGATCAACCGGATGAACATCGGATCGATGGGCACACTGCCCAAGAACGGCACCTCGAACTCCCTCGCCATGACCTCGCCGCCACCCTTGGAGAACACATTCGTGCACTCTGAGCAGTTCGGACACACGAAGCCAGCCATGTTCTCGATCACGCCTAGGATCCGAACGCCGGTCTTGCGGCAAAAGTTGATCTCTTTCTTGACATCGCTAATGCTGATTGCTTGCGGTGTCGTTACAATGACTGCGCCAGCCGTCTGCCCGGGTGTGGCTTCTTTAAGCAGTGTTTCGACGAGCGAGATGTGCTCGTCGCTTGTGCCAGGTGGTGTATCAATCAAGAGGTAGTCCAGTGTGCCCCAGTGGACGTCTGACAGGAATTGTCGAACCATGGCTGTCTTCTTCGGGCCGCGCCACACGACCGCATCCCCTCTGTTCCCGAGCAAGAAGCCAAGCGACAAGCAGTGCAGCGAGCCATGGCTTCTCGCGTGTCCATTGGCCTCGCTGCTGCCGTTCGCGTGTCCGTTGTTGGCGCGCGACCCTCCTTCCGGATGCGCCTGATGCACGGGTACTGGTATCCAGCCACCAGGTGCCTGCCTCACCTTCTCGTCCTCGATGCCAAAGAAGCGCGGTATCGATGGTCCCGTGAGGTCCACGTCCAGCACGCCGACGGAATGTCCTTGCAGTGAAAGCGTGAGAGCAAGTTGTGTCGTGACGCTGGACTTGCCCACGCCTCCCTTGCCCGACAGGACAAGCGCTATGTGCTTGATATCCTTCAGCGACATCGTGTTCCCAAATGCGAACCCCAGGCAGTCAACAATACTTCGTGAAGGCGCATTCGGATTTGGACTGCGTTGTTGGCTTTGAAATCGCGACTCGAAAACGTCATTGCAGCTTGACTCGGGCGATGTATGGGGCAGCCTGCAGCATACAGTCGACCGTATCTACCCAAACCCTAGGTTCGACCGGAACCTGCGTGAACCCAGCGCATCCCGATAACCCACGTTCGAGGCAAGCAATGGTCGTTGGAGCGGGCTCGATCACTGACGAAAGCGCTCCCAGGACACTTCGACGGCAGTCCAGCCGCATTCCAAGGACGGTTGAACGATTGACATGCACCTTTCATTGCAGTGGTCAACATACACATCGACCAGGCCCACCGCAGTCTCCGTAAATTGCCGGAAGCCAGGATACATCCATTCTTCGACATGAGCCTACGAGCCTACGAGGCTCGCACCAAGCCTGGGTACTGACGATCTGGATGATAATAGGCGATGATTCATGCTCATGTGGAGAGCATCGATGTTGTCTGCAGCCTACCTCGATATCTAAGGCCCATCATGTGATGCCTGTCACCTGCCCGATTGCAACAAAGGAGGGTTATATGAGGTCTCCCTATAGTGCGTTCGCGTCCATCGCCTTCCTTGCAAAGCGCCAACCACCTGTAAAGTCCCCTGTTGCCTGTTCAGACGCAAGAAAAGCGACACAGAGGAGCCATAGCAGGAAAAAGCGTCCTTGTAGATTAGAACGGGCCATATGCGCAGAGTCCGGAGAGCGAGCAAGTCTCAACTACAGCATCCTGTACTTTCGCGAGTATAGCGCGACGCTTACCTGGAGTCGAGCATGGAGTCTCATCTGAGTCATGATGGCTAGCCTACGGCGTCAAGGTGGAGCCACGGTAGCAGCCCCCAAGTCCAGAATGGTCGGTGACTGCACATGCGTAGGCTGCCAAGTTAGTAGTACCCCCCGCACAAGTAACGGCTTGCTCACGGGTGACTCGCGTGCCGTACACCAGAAGGCAAAACAGCCTCATCGCTCCCCTCTTCCTCGTCTCTGTTGCTCTCGTCCCTTCTGCGGACACGCATACGAAAGATGCCCTTTCTCGCCACACCGATGGCAAGCCTTGTCGGCCGCGCTCGACTGGGCTGACCCATTGCTGTTCGAGATACTGGTCAGATTGTTCAGGTTCACGTGCTTCTTCCTGCGATCCTCAGCCAGGCGGAGTGCTTCGGCTTTGTTGGATTGCTTCTTCAAGTTCCGGGTAGCGCGTGCCTCATCGCCAGCCTCCTTGCGGGACTGCGCGATCAAGGCTTTGACTCCGGTGGGGTCGTCGCTCTCGTCATCGTCGTCGTCGTCGTCCTCCTCGTCCTCGGATCCCGAAGAGATGTCATCGTCCGGATTCGGTTGCTTCTGTGACCGGTATTAAAGCCGGAGTCGGATCACGACCCTCGATCGCACATACCTTGACAATCTTGTTGAAGTTGCCAAAACTTCGTCGGCCAGCAACGCTCGGTCTCGTGAACTCCACCTCACCCTCGCCCGATAGACGCTCTCGTGTCTGTATCGAAGCATCCAGCGTACTGTACCCCGCAGAGACGACCTGCATGGGAGGGTCCGGTGCTTGCGACTCCGTTTGGCGCACGCTGAGATACCACTTCGTCTCTCCCCTATCCGGCGCATCTGTATGCTTCCGTTCTTCCGAAGCTAGTGAGCCTGATGCTGCCTGTGGCGTTGAAGGTGATGCCGCATTGTACGAGCCATTGGACATGCGCTGTCTCTTCGATGATGGTTCTGTTCGCGCGCTTGGTGATGAGGAAGGTGACGCGCCCGCGCGCTGCATGAACTTCATCGTGGCTAGTCGCGAGGACATCGCCTTGGGTTGCTTTCCGGGCTGCGCCATATTGATGTCCTTAGGGGGTTGGAAACATGAAGGTAACAGATAATCTGGGCATGTTGCAGTGGATGAACGAATGTGAAGCGCAAGAACGTTGGAACACTTGTGCCTGAGGCAACTGCAAATCGGTACTGGCAAGATAAGATACATACATGTTAAGTACATACAGGTAGATGGAGATGGACACCTACTCTTGCTTCTCAGCAACGAAGACAACCACCACTGCATGTACCGAAATATCGCAGCGCACATGCACATCGTCACGAACGTCGACAGCCACAGGAACGTCCTCACGACAGAGATGCAAGCCATGCATGTATGCTTTCTATGCCTCATGAGCCGCCGTGGCCTCGCCTAGCCCTCAGAGACCTCACCAGGCCCGACTCCCTCATACATGTCCCCTCGATGAATACGCCTGAGCACCGGCGCACCTTCTAACAAGCACAAGCTCAAGCCCAAGCTGAAGCCAAGCCCAAGCACGCGCCTTCCCCCATTGCCCCCCAACCCATACCGCCATGCATCGCGCTCGATCTTTCCGACTGCTGCCAGCCCTCGCATAACGTCGTGGCCGCATGATACGCATCCGCCCTATCTGTACACGCCTCGATTGATGTTGGAGGAAATCCAACGCGAAAAGCACCCGCTATCTGGCCGCTAGCAGCACTGCAGGGGCTACCGGATGTTGAGGCTCTCGTACCGGGCCCAGTTGCCGCGCTGCCTGTTAGGGTGCTCGAGGCCCAGGTGGTCGTCTGGCCCCAGCTTCTCGGATAGGACATCGTCTGCAACACCCATTAGCATCGCCCCCGAACCCGTGCCAGCTCAGCAGTGGGCTCCGACTCACCGTCCTCGATCCACACCGGCCGGGCATAACTCTGCCCGCCCTTGATGACCGCCCACCGGACCTTCTCCAGATTCTTCCCCTTGATCCCCGTCCGCTTCCCCAACCTCTCCTTCGTGTCCCGGAAGACCTCCCCCTCCTTCAGCAGCGCGATGAAAGGGACCCCGTGGCTCTTACTCGGCTCCTTCTCAAAGTGGAAACACCACATCAGCCGATCCCCCTGCTCCCCTTCCCCCTTCGCCGCCTCGAGCGCCCGCTCCTCCTCCGGGATCCGCTCCGCGTACACCGTCATATACTCGTTCAACGCCACCACACTGTGCGTCGGCGGCAGGATCTTATACACCTTATTCCCATGCGCCTCGTAAAAGCGAATCTCCTCCAGAATCTCGTCCGGCAGCCCGGCCCGCTTGTGCAGCGCGGCCAGCACCTCCGCGAACTGGCTGGGCTTCGGCAGCGCCATCTCGACCGGCAGCTCCTTCTGGATCCCCTCGCTCAGCCAGACGACGCGGACGTTCTTGCGCTGCTCGAGGTCCGTGAGCGACATCTCCAGCACCTCGTAGTACAGGCAGTCCGGCGCCTGCGCGGGGTTGGAGCTGTACCCCCCGCCGCCCAGCATGCCGCCCAGGCCGAAGAGGATGGCGGACACGGTCGCGCCCGCGCCGCGCTTGACGAGCTGCCGCGGCTTCCCCGTCTGCGCGTTGACGGTCGTGAAGCGCAGGTGCGAGGGCTCGATGGGCACGGTGCTGACCTCGGACAGCTTCTCCGCGGCCTTCAGCGCCAGGGCGTCGTAGCCGTCCTTCTTGCTCAGCGCGACGGCGAACTTCTCGTCGCCGGCCCGCCGCACCGCGAAGTTCTGCAGGGGCGCGAAGCGCGGCGTGAACGTCACGAAGATGCGGTTGATCAGGTAGTCGTAGAAGGCCGGCGCGTCCAGGCACGCCGTCGGCTTCTGCTGCCGCACCGCCGTCGCCTCCGGC